TTCAATCTCATCTTCAATCGCATGCCACAGTTCCTCCCGAATTGTCGAATAATTATTCACAGTTGCAAAGAATTTACTGTCTACTGCTTCCATAACGATCTGGAAAAGCACAATAGATGCCCATTGAAGTAGAAGAAGGTCTTTTTTGAATAATTAGAACAACTATTCTTAAGGAACAACTGAACACTGAAAACGAATGCGAATCCACTCAAATGTAATGCCGATTGATTACACTGCCAAATGCATAATCATACTTACCTCAGCGCCTGGTATTAAAGAAAAGCAGTTGCTCTTCACATCACTGAAGTCGTAGTCAGGATATGCTACATTCAAAGCACCGATGAGATCAAAAAGCGTTCTTTTCGATATTGAATCCAAAAGAACAAACTAAAAGTGTAGGATCAATAGGTGAAACTATACATCAATAAATTTCTTGTAATTAATACATTTAGTAGTGCATGATAGATAACAGTTTCAAATACACCCTGACATCGAAATGTTTTCCGCATAAAAAGCAAGCAAGCAATTGCAAAAATCAATACGGCAAACAAAATAGCAGGACAGACTTACATCATCAGCATCAGTTTCAGATCCAGAGTGTGCCTCTGAGAGATGACGCATTCTGGCGGAGTGCCCAATCGGTGACGGAGATACAGATAAAAAGTCGTCAGGTGGAGAGAGAGGCTAAACCCAACGTGATTGATGTTGCTTTATTCTGCAGTCCTCAGACATGTATCATATACAAAGAGTGCACATAACCTATCGGCTATATTTTAGTTGTGAAAATACTAAGCCATGTATTTGATGTTTTCAGAAAAAGGTGAAACAGTCATCTAATTAATGATTGCAAAGATAAGATAGGTTGGACTGATATAAGAATATGCAGGTTTACATGACATGTTGTAGTATGATAATCCAATAACAACTCCTGTAAACCACTTCTTTTTACGCTTCGTTACTCACGATTAGTACTAAACAATTATAAAGAAGGCTTGTACTATTGTGGTAATTGGATTGAATTGAACTCAAATTTAGAAAATCTTTACCTCTAACCCCTACCAACACTAATTCTCACCATAAGCCGTTTGTATATATGCAAAAATGTCTTTTACAATAGTGTACCCACAAGAGAAAGATACCTGTCTATCATTAGCATTATTCGTTTCATTCGATCCACCATAGGCCTTCCATTGCTTCTTGTCACTTTGCACCATTTTACATGAGTAAGATTCAAGCCTAAACATGACTTGTTATTTGACATATTTAGAGTTCTCTTCTTTTTTAAATCTCTTTTGTTTAACAGTTCCTTCAAAGCATCATACAATACAGTCTAGAGAGGAATGGAAAGCAAATAATTGCAGCCACAAGTGATTTCCTAAAAAAAGGAGAGGGATAAGAGTTGGTGTAAAGAGGTGGAAGCAAATAGCCTGAGGCAAAAAAAAACTTTCAAATAAACAGGGATAGCCGATGACCCACGAGTAACGTAAAACCCCAAAATATACGCTATCTTTCTATCAGAATGCTGAATTATGATTAGATACTATAATCAATAAACCAGGAAATTAAAGATCAAGAGATGTAAGAAAATGACAAGTAACAAAAACAAATTATAAGAAGTAAAAACAAAAATTCAGTGTGTCAAAAATAGGGTGACTCTGAAGCTACTTTT